GGGGGGTCCCCCCAAACTCCCCTCTGTGAGAGCACCAGCAGTGCCCCCCCAATTAAACCCTTTCTCAGGGGACTGTGAGCGTGTCCTTTGTCACCCCTGCGAGGGGCTCCAGCTGGATAAAATAATTAAATTACGCAAAATTAGCTGGAGACAGAATAATTAATGATGAAAAATCCGCTTAAAATAATGCAATTAATGATGCAAAAAATGGCGATTTAGTATAATTTGCTTAAAGTGACAATAATGTGAAAAATACTTAAAATAATGCCATTTTCTTAAAAAAACGGAATTTATGATGCAGGAATTGCTTAAAGTAGTGCATTCATGCAAAATTTGGTTAAAACAATGCAATTAGGCGTGCAAAATTTGTTTGAAGAACAGAACTTTGCACGATTTGGTTAAAATGAGGTAATTAATGACGCAAAAATTGCTTAAGATGCAGTTTTGCGTAATTTCCTTGAAATGATCCAATTAATGATGGAAAAACGCTTAAAATAATGCAGAATTTGCTCAAGACAGCGAAATTAATAAGCAAATTTCGCGTTACAAATAACGCAGTTAAAACAATTCCAAAAAGGAAAATGCTTAAAAATAACGCGATTATGGAAATCGGGGGCGTTTCCCCGCACGCCCAAAAGCCTCGTCACGCCGTGATTAAACCGGTAATTAATTAAAACGCGCAATTAAAGCGGCGGAGGGCGCCCCCTGGCGGTCCCGGGGCGGTGTCACCGGAGGGGACAGCGCGGGGTGACACCGGAGGGGACAGAGCTCGGTGACACCGGACCCGCCAACCCCGGGGGCAGCCGGTGGCGGCTCCGGTGGCGGGAGGGGAGCCGGGACCCCCCCCCCGGGCAGCGCGGGGGGCGATCGCTATGAAACACAACCGGGGGGTGGTTGGGAGAATAATAATGATAATAAATAAATAGGCGATAAATAGCGATAAATAGAGGGGGGGACAAGGCACGGGGGGGACACAAGGCACAGGGACACACCACGGTGCCGGTAGCAGGAATTAGGGGTGGGGGGCTCGCAGCCCCCCCCCGCTCTGTTCAGGACACGGGGGGGGTCCGGCAGAGCCGCCCCCGGGGCGGGTCCCCTCCGTCACTTCCCCGCTCGCTCCTTGTGCGACTCTGTCACCACCTGCTGCGGGAGGAGAATTTGGGGGTCAGCCCCGCGTCAGGGTCGGGACCCCCAAGGTCGGGACCCCCCCCCCCCCCAGGCCTCACCTGCCCGTCCCGGGTCTCGATGGTTTTGATGAGCACCGTCCTCCGTGCCGGGATCTCCGCAGGCTGGGGCTCCAGCACTGGGCACAGAGGGGCCATCAGACCCCTCTGCCCCCTCCCCGGGCACCCTGAGCAGGGGCACAGGGACCCACCCGCATCCCTGTAGGGTCTCTGCCCCCAAGGAGAGACCCCAGACCTAGTGAGGGACCCCCAGGTCGCCCCTCACCTGAGCTTCTCATGCTGAAGGAGGTGGTTGGGTGCATGGGCACGGTGATCCTGGGGGGAGACAGGGGGTGAGGGGGCATTGCCAGTGACCCCAACCATTCCACGCACTCGAGTCCATGACCTTCATCCCGGCTCAGCTGGGGGCTGTGCCCACGGGCTGCCAGGCTGGCACCGGGAGCGGAGCCGGAGGCAGCTCCCCCACCATCACACCAGCCCCTGGCCTTGCCTTTATCTCGGCAGCGAGAAGCTCCCACGGGAACCTCTTGTTTTCCTGTGGGAACGGGGCCTGGAGCCGCCTCCTCCCCAGAAAATCCCACAACAAGCCAGGGCCCCCCTCACCGGCTCTCCTCGCCCTCCAGCAGCTTGCGGTACGTGGCGATCTCGATGTCCAGGGCCATCTTGACGTTGAGCAGGTCCTGGTACTCGCGCAGGTGCCGCGCCATCTCCTCCTTCATCTGCTGGATCTCCTGCTCCAGCCGCCCCACTGCGTCCTGGTAGTTCCCGATCTCCTCCCCGAACTCGTCCTCCATCTCCCGCATCTGCCGCTGCAGCGCCTCGTTCTGAGGGGGGGGGATAGAGAAGGGGTTGCATAGGGCTGGGGTGGGGGCACCCCCCCGATGCCCCCCCGGCTCTCACCATGCCCTTCAGCCCGTCCACCTCGCAGGTCAGGCTCTGGATGTGCCGCCGGGACTCGTTCATCTCCTGCTTGGCCAGGCGCAGGGCCTCGTGGTTGCGGTTGGCCGCGTCCGAGAGGTCGGCGAACTGCGAGGGCCGGGAGAGTCAGGGCTCTGAGGCCTCTGAGGGTCCTCAACTCCCCCATTCCCCGGCCCCTCCCGAGCCCCCCCAGCCCCGGGTACCTTGGACTTGTACCACTCCTCGGCCTCCTGCAGGTTCTTGACGGCGATGCTCTCGTACTGGGTGCGGATCTCTCGCAGCGCCGCCGTCAGCTCGGGTTTGCAAACCTCCACCTCCGCCGGCCCCGCCGGGCTCGGGGCGCTCACCTCCAGGTCCCGCAGCTCCTGCCGTGGGCACGTGGCCGTCACGCTGTGGCACGAGGACCCGGCCTGCTTCCCCCACCCCAGCCCGGCCCGGGCCCCACCTCCTCGTGCAGCTTCTTGAGGAAGCCGATCTCGTCCATGAGCAGCTCGACCTTGCGCTCCAGCTCCAGGCGGGACAGCGTGGCGTGGTCCAAGTCCTGGGGGAGAGGCTGGGATGAGCTGCAGGGTGGCATGGAGGGGATGGGGACCCTCTGGATCTTCCCCCCTTCCCAATGGAGATTGGCATTGCAGGGGGGGACAGGCCCCCCCCAGCCCCCTCACCTTGCGGAACAGCACCAGGGTCTTCTCTGCATCCTCGCGCTTCTGTGTCTCATCTTCCAGCCTGGGGACAGCAGGGGTGAGAGGGAGGTGGGAGACAGGGTTCAGACCCCCCTCTCATGCCTCCTGTTGTAGCCCTCCCACACACACTGGAGGCCCACGGGGATGGATTGTCCCCCAGTGCTCATCCAGGTCCACTCGCAGTGACCCCACCCTGCCCCTCCCAGTGCCCCGTCCTTCCGCAGAGCCCAGAGCTCCCAGTACCTCCCAGTGTTCCCTGGTGCCTTCCCTGTGCATCCCTGGTGCCTTCCCCAGCATCAGCTGAATGCATCCCCAGTCCACTTCCCAGTACACCGGGGGCACCCCCCAGTCCCCACCCTGGCATCCCCGGGGCTCATCCATCCCCATCCCGGTGCATCCTCTGGTCCCAGCACATCCCTCATCCCGGTGCATTCCCCAATCCCCACCCTGGTGCAGCTCTCATCCCATCACATCCCTCATTCCATGACATCCCTCACCTCATCACATCCCTCATCCCAGCTCATCCCCCGATCCCTCTCTGGCACATTCCCCAGTCCCCATCCCATGCATCCCTCATC